GTTGGCCAATGATGTTGAGTATTGGTTCATCTGTTTATTCTCCATCTCCCATAGTAAGCATTGAGTTCAAATCTTTTACTCACTTTTAATTGGGTTTATTTTCTTATTATTGAGTTTGGGAGTTTGTTGTATATTCTGGATACAAGTCCTTTATCAAATATGTGATCTGTAAACATTTTCTCTGAGCCTTTGGATTGTGTGTTCATTCTCCTAACAGGTTTTCAAAGAGCAGAAGTTTTTTAACTGTCAGGAAGTGCAATTTATGTTGTTTTGTTTTGGTTTATGGATCCTGCTTTTGGTGTCATATATAAGATTTGCCTCACCTAAAGTCACAAGGGTTTTAGAGTTTTAAAGGTTTGCATTTGGGTCTATTACCTATTTTATTTGGGTTTATGGTGTGAGATATGATTCAATGTTTACTTTTTGTGTATGTGGATAATCAGTTTTTTCCAGACTGCTGAAAAGACTATCCTTTCTCTTGTTTGCTGAGAGTTGTTTAAATCAGGAATGAAAGTTGGATTTTGTTTTTTCTGCATCTATTGAGAATCTTTTTGCATGATGGTTTGTTAATATGATAGCGTATACTGATTGATTTTAAAGTGTTAAATCAATCTTGTGTTCTTGGGATAAACCCCACGTGGTCATGATGTATTATCATTTTTATATGTGGTTGAATTATTTAATGGATATACAACTGCTGAGTTTGTTGTATTCCTGAATGAATGTATGTAGTTTGTATCACTCAAGAAATTGCCCAAGTTGTTGAATTTATTAGCATAAAGTTGTTCATAATATTCCCTTATCTTTTCAACATCTGTGAAGCATGAAGTGACATCACCTTTCTCATTTCTGATACTGGTAATTTGTAGCTTTTTTTTTAAACTGAACAATCAGAAGTTTATCAATTGTATTGATCTTCTCAAAGAAATAGTTTTTTGGTTTCATTGATTGTTGCACTTTTTTTTTTTTTCATCGACTTCCACTCTTTATTCTTTCTTTTGCTTTTTTTTTTTTTTGAGACAGAGTCTTGCTTTGTGGCCCAAGCTAGAATTCAGTGGGTGCAATCTCAGCTCACTGCAAACTTCACCTCCCGGGTTCAAGCAATTCTCCTGCCTCAGCCTCCTGAGTAGCTGGAATTGCAGGCATGTGCCACCATGCCCAGCTAATTTTTGTATATTTTTAGTAGAGACAGGGTTTCACCATGTTGGCCAGGCTTGTTCCGAACTCCTGACCTCAGATTATCCACCCACCTCGGCCTCCCAAAGTGCTGGGATTACAGGCATGAACCACTGCATCCAGCCTCTTTTGCATACATTGGGTTTGACTTTCTATTCTTTTTTAGGTCTCTTAAGGTGGAAGCTGGAGTCACTGATCTGTGATCTTCTTTTCTAGTATAAGCATTTAGTACTATAAATTTCCCTCTAAGTCCAGTTTTAACTGCATCCCAGAAATTTTGATATACTGTATTTTTATTAAGTTTAAAATAATTTATAATTTTCCCTTTGATTTCCTTTTTGACACGTGAGTTTAGAACCATGCTATTTCATTTCCAGATATTTGGGCATTTTCCAGAGCTCTTTCTGCTGTTGATCATTAATTTAAATCCATTGTTGTCAGAGGACATCTTCTATGTTTTGGATCCTTTTAAATTTATTGAGACTCCCTCATGGACCCGAATATGGTTGGCAGTTGTTGCATGTGCACTTGAATTTGTGTTCTGTCGCTCCACGAAGTGTCCTGTAAACAGCAATGACTGTGTTATTTGAGTCGCCTATATTATCATCCCCTTTCTGTCTACTTGCTCTGCTAATTATTGAGAGATCAGCCTGGGCAACAAAGTGAGACACCGTCTCTACAAAAAAATCAAAACCTGGCCGGGCGCGGTGGCTCAAGCCTGTAATCCCAGCACTTTGGGAGGCCGAGGCGGGCGGATCACGAGGTCAGGAGATCGAGACCATCCTGGCTAACACGGTGAAACCCCGTCTCTACTAAAAAATACAAAAAACTAGCCGGGCGAGGTGGCGGGCGCCTGTAGTCCCAGCTACTCGGGAGGCTGAGGCAGGAGAATGGCGTGAACCCGGGAGGCGGAGCTTGCAGTGAGCTGAGATCCGGCCACTGCACTCCAGCCTGGGTGACAGAGCGAGACTCCGTCTCAAAAAAAAGATCAAAACCTTAGCCATGCATAGTGGCGCATGCCTGTAATCCGAGCTACTCGGGAGGCTGAGGCAGGAGGATTTCTTGAGCCCAGGAAGTCAAGGCTGCAGTGAGCCATGATTGTGCCACTGCATTTGAGCCTGGGCGGCAGAGCAAGACCCTATCTCAAACAAATTCTTGATAGCGGTGTTGAAACCTCTGACTGTAATTACAGATTTGTCTGTAATTTTTCCTCGCAGTTCTATCAGCTTTTGCTTCGTGTGTTTTGAGACCCTGCGCTCACGTCGTGCATGCTCTTGACTGGTTGACTCCTGTGTCATCATGAAATGACCCTCTTTATCCCTAGACCCTGACTTGAAATCGATTCCTGCTTTCCTTTGATTAGTTTAGCACGGGATATCTTCTTTCACCTTGCTACTTTCTACCTAGTGTGTCTCATACTTAAATTAGCTTCCTTGGAGATTTCTGTAGGATCCAAGTATCTGCTTTGACATATTTATTAACTCTAAAAAAGTAATAACAGCTTTTCAGTGGAGAAACCACCTTATCTATGTGACAAAGCTCGGGCTGTCAGTGGCAAGGCAGATTGGCATCATGTACCCTTGATACGACACCCTGAGAAGGATGTCACTTTCGCGATATTCCTGCCAAAAATGCGTCTCCCCATTCCAATCGTGAGAACATCCCGGGCATGCCCAGAAAAACTCTACAAAGTGACTGGTCAGTGCATTCAAAGGCAAAAAGCTCATGGAAGACGAGAGAAGACAGGAGAAGTGACAGCTAAAAGTAGTGGGGAATCTTGCAAGGCACAAAGAACATGAGCAGAGAAACTGCAGACACTGAGTGAGGGCAGCTGTGAAGTTGGTATGTTAAAAGCGGAAGGGATGCCAAAGGCAAACCCAAACGTTATGGTGTATTTTAAATTCAGTGAATTCATGCAGTTGCCACCGAACACCGCAGTGTAGACAGGAATGAGTCCGCAGACATTACCAAGAGTGAAGGAAGCCAGGCTCGCAAAGCACACCTGGCCAGGTTCCGACTGGGGAGGTTCAGGAGCAGACGAGACTCGTGGGGGGGCGGTGAGGAGGTCAGACGCATGGGGACAACAATGCGGGGGCTCCAGGGCTCCGGGGGCTGGAGATGACCGGGTGCTCGTTGTTGACATAAGAAACCCATCGGCTGCTCCCACGTAAGGCGTGTGCATGACTAAGTGTGTGTTATGCCACTGTCAAGACAGGGCAGATGTGCAGCCTGCTCACTGGTCGCAGATGCTTCCCGGTGTTGACAGTGTGTACACTGACGGAATGCTGAGTCGGGGGCACTTGCCTGAAGCCACGTGGTGAGTGCCTTCTTGGGTCCCCTGAGTTCTGTGTGTGTGGCCTGCCCCATTTGGTGAAGACGTCAGCCGTCTCCGAGGGCCCTGCACGCAGCCTGGGCTACCGTCTGCTCCAGACCACAGCCTGTGCTCTCAAAAACACCAGAAGCCGCCTCCTGCCTCCCTGGTCTGAGCCTCCCTCATGGCTGTGATTGAGTTCAGGGCTGAGCATCTCACTCCCTTATCTGCCCAGGATCCAGCCTTGTGGTCTGGGAGTAAAGTGTAGCTGCTCCAGCTGGTTAATCGCTCTCCCAGCTGCGAGGGTGTCTCGCTGGGGACTGGCATGGAGGAGCTGCACTTGCAGCATCCACGGGGCTGGGATGCCATCAGGCAAATGAATAAAACAGCCTGGGTGAAGGAGCCGGGGTTGCCCGCCCCACACTCAGAGAGGGCGGCCTCAGATGAGCCTGCCCCACTGCCATGGCTGGCCACTGGGTGCAGGCTGATTGCCCTGCTGCCCCTGCCTCCACACTCGTCCCTCCTGTCCCGGCCCCTGACCCAGCGTGGGGACCCTCAGACAGAGCCCCGGCCGTCTCACAGGCAGGGCAGGGGCAGCGCTGTGGCGAGGGCCAGAGCTGTCAAGGGGAATCCACGGCCCCCAGGCACAGCCCCCACCCCTTCCCTGGGTGCCACCTTCAGCTGAGTGTTTCTAGATCCCACAGACACAGAGCTGAGACCTGCCCCAGACAGTGGGAGCTCAGCCCAGTGCTGCAGCCAGAAACAGGAACACTGAGCACAACATGGCCCCTGGCAGAGGTCTGGACCCACAGCCCGTAACCGAGGAGTCTCAGGCTTTCCCTGTAGCACCTGGAGGCTGCGCTGCAGGGGGAGAGGGAGCTGGAGAGGAGTGGGGTGGGCCACATGCAGTCTGCACTGTGGTTCAAACCTGCCACCTGAGAGCCCCTTGGGGGTGGAGGATGCTGACCCCAGATGCAGCTTCCAGGACCTCCCAGCCCCACTGCCTCTGAGCTTCGAAAGGGGCCTGAAGATCTACATTTTTATCAAACCCAGGGTGACTCCGTCACGAAAGTTGGTGACAGGACTGATTCTAAGCAGGGCATAAGGGGTCAGTTGTGTCCTTGGTGACGCTGATGGGGTGAGGGGGACTTGGGGGTGGCCAGAGAGCTTTGGGTCAGGTGGAAGACAGAGGCCTGCCCAGAGCAGGGTGGGTGTCACCTGCGGCCAGTGCTCAGCAGCCAGGCCGCCCCAGGCTCCATCTGGAGCCCCTGCAGGGGCGACAGGGCACATTGGCACCACTGTGCAGGGGAAGCCAAGGAGGAGGGCATGTGGATGCCACCATCCTGGCCTGGAGGGCTTGGGGACGATGTTGGAGCCCAGGTTTAGGAAAATGAAGACAGGGAGCTGGTGGGTTGGAGAAACTGGGGGTGTAGGGCTGCAGGGCATCCACAGGCCTCAGAAAGCTCACCTGTGGATCGAGGAGAACTTCAGGCAGCCGTAACACAGCCCCCAGCCCTGGACATGTCAGAAACTTTATTTGTGGAAAACACACAGGAGCCAGCCTGGCCTGAGATGGCAGATTTAACATCTTGGGTTTTACTACATTCCCCATCCTGAGGGCCCTGATGGTTCACACACCTGTGAGCCATTGACACCAAACCACGAGGTCCCCACATCCCCACCTCCTGCCCACACTGTCCCTCCTTCCTGGGTGTGGCCAGCATGTGGCTCCCAGGTAGTGGGGAGGGACAGCTTCTGCAGCCCCCTCCCAGGGTCCCTGGGGCTAACCCTGGCAGAGGCCCTCTGGGTCTCTTCACAGGCCTGGGCTGTGTCTGGGCTCCTGTCCCCCCACGGAGCTTATCCTGACAGCCAGGAGTTCAGACGGTGCCCCCGGGCCAGGCAAGGATCCGTGTTGAGTCACCTCGGAACATGGAGGCCCTCTTGGGGAGAGTGGCAGGGCCCCTTCCGCACAGGCCACAGGGGACCCTGACGCTCCAGGGAACCTGCCTTGGGCCGATAACCTCCACGGTGGAAGAGTTGCTTGGGGTGACACAGCCCGGAAGGGAGTGAACTCTGGCCAAGGGCCCAGCACAGGCCCAGCCCCTCACCTGCTGGCCAAGGGTCTCAGGGGCCCCTCAACTCCGAGTGGCCTGTGCCCTGTCTTGAGCTCTCCTCCCAGGTCACCCTGACCCTGTCCAGTTCATGAGGTCATCTGCGGCAAACTTGCAGCGGCCGTGAGGGGCAGTGGGTCCACCAAACTCCATCCTGTGCAGGGCCCAGGATCAGCCTAAGTCCTGGACAGGCTCGGGAGAGAGAAGCCCTGGTTTCCGGGGTGACTGTCCACGGACTGCAGCTGCCCGGCCTGAGTGCACAGTCAGTAGTGAGCCCCAAATTCAGCTGCCACCTTCTGGAGGAGGGTCTTGTGGTTTGCGTATAGTGGGATGCGCCTGTCCACCACCTGCCATCGGATGGAGGCCCCCGAGTCGCAGGCGTGCAGGTTCTGGAAGAACAAGGGCAGAGCTGACCCTCCCTGCCAGCCCTGCCTCTGCCCAGTTGAGCCCTACAGACTGCAGCCTTCGAGGGCACCCTCACTTTACTCCTCTGTGAAATGGGAGGCAGGACCCCTGTGTCAGGTGCACCAGAGATGCACCCCCAAGGCCCTGAGGATCCTTCAGGGGAAGAAGATGCAGGTGCAGCTTTGCCGGGAGCTGTTTAGCCTGCATATAAAGCCTGGGGTTATTGCATGGAACTTTCCTCATCGCATTTCTGAATGAGGAGCATGCAGGATTGATCCAAGCACTGGGAATCCACATCCCCATAAAAGGCTAAAAGCCGGCAGCAGAGGTGGGGGGGCCTTGCCAGCCTCACCCCTGGATGCCTTCCTCGAGGTCTCCCTGGAGGATCCAGGTCCCAGAACTACACAGGGCCCTCATGGTTGCCTGTCCTGTCCTGTCAGCTCTGGCCATCTGCAGTTGCTCCCTGGCCTCCCCCGGTACCCCCTTTGTCACTTTCTGGGCAAGACTGATCCTGTAGCTTCCACTTTCTGGCCCTGGGCCCCGGGAGCACAGCCAGGTCCCACCCTTGGAGGCCTCAGAGGCAGGTCCAGAATCCAGACCCCCTCCCTGCCTCCCCCTCCCCAGAGGCCACGCCCATACCCGTCCCCGCCTCCCCACTTCCCCTCGCTGGAGGCCAAGTTCATACAGAGTTCAGCCTGTTCAGTTCCGCGTCGTTCTGGTCCTGGAAGTGGACGCTGATGGCCACCGTCTCGATCCAGGCATTGTCCGTGTTCCTCGGGTCGTCCATGTAGCCTTTGTACACCTGGATGGGCAGGGCAGGGTAAGCCCGACAGCAAGGGACCCCGGAGCAGTGCTCCGGCCCACCACGTGCCCTCTACCCTGCCCCAGCTCCCACCACGCACAGGACCCTGGCCCAGCTCTCCCAAGTCTGCCCGGGCCTGCATGACAGAGCAGCCCAATGCCGGCTTCATCCTGAACAGTCCTTGCCCTGCAGAGATCTTGGAAACGTCTGCTCAGTGAAGAAAGCTTCAAAAGCCACCTGCTGTAGGAGTCCACTTATAACAGAGGTCCAGAACCCGCAAATCCAAGGAGATGGGCAGCAGATTCGGGAGTTCTGGGGAAGAGCTTGGGGTGATGGAATGTTCTGGAACTGGATAGAGGTGGTGGCTGCACAATGTTGTGAAGTGCTCCACGCCATGGCATTGATCACTTTTTTTTTTTTTTTTGAGATAGTCTCACTCCTGCCCAGGCTGGAGTACAGTGGTGCAACCTCCACTGCCTGGGTTCAAGCAATTCTCCTGCTTCAGCCTCCCAAATAGCTGGGATTACAGGCATGCACCACCAGGCCTGGCTAATTTTTGTATTTTTAGTAGAGACAGAGTTTCACTATGTTGGCCAGGCTGGTCTCGAACTCCTGACCTCCAGCGATCCGCCCACCTCAGCCTCCCAAAGTGCTGAGATTACAGGTGTGAGCCAGTACACCCAGCACGTGTAGCCTGTTATTATAAAGAGTGTCTATGAAGGGCTGGGTGCAGTAGCTCACGCCTGTAATCCCAGCACTTTGGGAGGCGGAGGTGGACAGATCGCTTGAGCCCAGGAGTTCATAACCAGCCTGGGCAACGTGGCCAAACCCTGTCTCTACCAAAAATACAAAATATTAGCTGGGTGTGGTGTCTCACCCCTGTAGTCCCCGCTACCTGGGAGGCCAAGGCAAGAGGATTGCTTGAGCCCAGGAGGTGGAGGCTGCAGCGAGCCAAGATCGCACCACTGCACTCCAGCCTGGGTGACAGAATAAGACGTTGTTTCCAAAAAAAAGTGTGCAAGGCATTTGTGTGAGAGAGAGCTGGAGATGAAGCCTTTCTAAGGAAACAGGTTTCTAAAGAAGTAAACAAAAAGTCCTGGTACAGTGGGTCCCCAGGCTGGGCACTTGGGAAGGGCTCTCCAGAGCTTGGGAGTCGGGAGCAGGTCTGAGGGAGGGGCTGGCTTCCCAGCACCCTTGGGCACAGCAGTGCCCAAGTCAAGGGTGGATGTGCGGAGGAGGGTGGCACCATGCCTCCAAGCCGCTGTCACACCTGAAGGCAGCAAGGGTCCTCAGTCCATCCCCCTTGACTTAGGAGAAAATGGAACAGAGAGGGAGGGGCCTGCACACAGCTATGCTTCCTGGTCCTCTGGGAGCTGTGCAACGTAGGGGCTGGGACCACCGTCACCCGGTGAAGCTGGGTGGGACCACTGTCACCCGGTGGGGCTGGGGCAGGTCCCCAGTATCATGCTATGTTCATCCTACGGCCCTGGGAACACACAGGTGGAGCAGAGCAAACAGGCCGGGAATACCTCCATGCCGCGCGTTAGCAAGTTCTCAAAAGACAGCCAGTGCTCCTGCCGGAGGATCCGCTTCAGCTTCCGAGGCAGCGTCTCCCCTGGCTCCCGGGAGCCCTGGACAGACACAGGCAGGTCAACAGGGCACTGAAGCAGGACCTCAGGCTGCCCTGGCACCCGTCTCCACTGGCCTTCTGCCCATCGTGGGCAGCAGCCCAGCCCCGGGAGCCACAGGCAGGTGGCGTCTTGGGCTGGAGTGACATTACCCAGAACCAGCCATCTACATCAGCATCTGTGAGCCTGCCATGGCCCGAGCAGGGGGCACTGGGCTGCAGGCACAACCTCTGAGGAGCAGCAACAGCCCCCAGGATACCCACCCTGAGCTCAGGCTCCCCAAGGATGACAGGGCACCCCCTCCCTGCTCCCCTAGCGCCTGCCCCAGGCGTTGCCCCTCCCAGCTCAGGCCCAGTGCAGCAGGCTACTGCAGTGGGTTCCCTGTTTGCATTCCTGTCTCTCCCAGTCCCACCCCGGCCTGTGCTGGGGCTGGCTGGGCTCCCAGACGCTCCCGAGCGCCACCTGCCTCAGGGACCTGACTCTACCCCGAACCTCCTCCTCCCCACACCCATCTTTCCCGTCCTATTTGTCATTCAAAGTCCCATTGAAACACCCATGAGTTTCTCATGAAGACTTTGCAGGCACATCAAGACAGTCCCACCTCAGCCCCGTGACACTCTCACCCTCAAGCATGAGTGCCCTAGAGCCAGGAACCCAGGAGGCCCCCTCAGAGCGCCCCTCTCAGTGACCAGCCAGAGCTGACAGAGATGCCGGTGAGTGGAACCCCAGACCCAACCCCACGCTCCCCACATGGAGAGGCCAAAGTGCCAGAGAGCGGAGGGTGACTCGTGCCCCAGGGCTGGGTGTGCACAGGCAGAGAAGCCACTGGGTGAGAGCAGCGGGGCAGCAAGGGGACCCCGAGGCCAAAAGCCCCCTCTACTGCAAGGTTAGTTCCAGCTGTGGAGCGAGGCCCCCCAAAGCACTGGGACTCAGCAGCTGGGCCTGGGCTCCGGAATCCCCGTTCCTGCCCAGAGGCCTTCATGGCACTGCTGCCCTGCACACCACGGTGGCACACACACTCCCCCACCAGCAGAGGCAGCCACCAGGCCGTGAGCTCAGGACCAGAGAAATACAACAGCTTCCTGCTGAGTTGTTGTGACATACTCCCGAGATCAGGTGCAGAGGAGAGGCCCTGAGGGGTAGGCTGTACCCCAGAGGTCCCGCACCATGGCCAGGCCTGGCAGGATTCAGACCTCCTGGCAGGACCAGCCTCTTCCATCCCCTGCAGTGAGGGGGCTGGAGGGCTGCGGAGACCCAGCTGGCCTGAGAGGAAACAGGAGCTATTGGAGGCACTTGAAGAGGAAAGGCCCGGGTCATCTGTCCCAATTGTGTCCACCCCTCCCACAAGACCCTGGGCTGCGCTCCAGCCTTAGCCCCACAACCAGGCACTGCCCCTGAGCTGAGGAGCCTGTGCACACCCCTGGGCCCTGCCTGACACTGTCCTCTCTTTATGGCTCAGCACCTGGCCCTGAAGGTCAGGAGCAGGTCGGTGTCTGAGACACCGTGAGGAGCTACCTCTGACCCCAACACCCTGAACCCCAAAAGGGGAGCCCAGGTGGCCTCCAGCCTAGCCCATGCGTGGGACACAGTAGGTGCCCCGTTAGTGTTTATGCACCAAAAGATCCTCTGATCCTGGGTTTTTCTAACTGCAACATGAGGAAACAGGAGGAAGAGGAGTGTCTTCTACAGACAAAATAGGCTGGGGTCTTGAACCCTCCCTGCCCTGGGGCTAGTGTTCAGTCTGTGGGTGGAATGGATGAATGGAAGAGTGACCCACAGACAGCCCAGTGGACAGAGGCCCCACGCGCCGCAGCCTTACCCCAGGCAGGGCCCAGTGCTCGGAGAGAGGGAGCTTCACCACCAGCACTTCCAGCATCTTCTTTATGCTCTTCCTGCAGATGGCTCCGTCCTCGTTCCGCCTCCACCTGCAGAGGGAGCGACCACAGCTGCCCAGGACCGGCTGTGGCCTCCACCCTCCCCTGCGCCACACTGGGGCTGGCCCTGCCTGGGGCGGGGCGGTGTCAGGTCCACCACAGGCTCAAACTGTGTTCTTTTTCAAGTTCTTCATCCCCAGGGAAAAGACTGAGCTAGTAACCACTTAGGGGATGTCCTTCCTCACTTCCATCAGCAGCTGGTAGGACTAGAAAGAGCCCCAGCCTTCATGGAGAATTTTTAAAGATTAAAACCCTTAGAGAGGTACCTGCCCTTTGACCCAGCTTTGCAGTTTGATCACTCTTAGAAAATGCCGGTGGGAACCCAGTGGGGTGATGTGGGGTGCCGAGTGCCACCTGGGGGTGACATGGGGGTGATGTGGGATGCTGAGTGCAGCCCAGGGGTGATGTGAGGAGCCGAGTGCCACCCGGGCATGCCAAGGAGAGGCCAAAGGACCAGGGAGCAGAGGGTTTCACTCACACCCCAGGGCCATGCCTGCACGGCCAGAGAAGCCACTGGGTGAGGGGCTGGGCAGCAAGAGGACCCTGAGGCCAAAGGCCCCTCTGCTGGGGGAGGTCCCGGCTGTGGAGGCATAGCCCCCAGAGAGCACAGGGCACAGCAGCTGGGCCTGGGCCCCAGAATCCCACTCCTGCACTGTGGACAGCAAGAGCCCCCAGCAGTTTCCTCAGCGACGGAGGCGTCTGCACCCGCACAGAAGGCGGCCTGTGCCTTGGGTGAGAGCAGTGGGCCGGCTGCTGGAGTGCAGAGCAGTGAGTCTGAGGGGGTGAAAGTGGAGCTGTGTCCCCGTTGGTGGTTGGGTGTGGAGGAGTGAGCCTGTGGTGGGAGTTGAGTGTGGGGCTGTGTCCCTGTGGATGGGAGTGGAGAGTGAGTCTGAGGGGTGAGTGTGGGGCTGTGTCCCTGTGGAGGGGGGTCCTCTAATGGGCTGGGACCAGCAGAAAAGGGAAGGCAGCCCCCGGAGAGGGGCATGGTCCTGGGATCTTGGGGATCCCAGGGGATCATGGACATTCCTGCCCCGTTTCGGGTGTATTCATGTTTATCCACAGACGCCCCTCACGTCCCCTTGATGGGCACCAAGTGCCAAGCACCAAAGCCGCCCTCCCGGCCCCTGGGCACCGGGGAGTGGCAGCAGCCCCTGGTGAAGGTGGGAGCGGCCGCGTTGCTGAGGTGCTGGTGCCCAGCAGGCGTGAACTCACCGCGTGACCATGGGGTACAGCGTGTGGTTGGGTCCAAAGCAGCTGAGGCTCCCGCGCCCACGCAGTCCCGTCCGGCCCATGGGGTTCCTGGGATGCAGAGGGGTCAACTCAGTCCACCATCCACCACTGGGGAGGACAGGGCAGGGAGGGCAACTGAGAGGGGACAGCGGGCATCAGAAGCCGGCGCACAGTGGGATGTCGTTCAGGCTTCTTTAGGGACCTGCTCTGGCCTATGGGGGAGGATCCCCTTGGGACCCCCAAGGAGTAAGACCAAGGCTCTGGGTTACCTTGGGGTCACCTGGTGGGGGAATGGTCTCCCTGGGAGCAGAAGTCCAGCCACTGCAGGCCCGTGAGGGGCTAAAGTGCCACCTTCTCCCCACGGAGCGTAGAACTAGCCGACTGCTCGGGCCAGCACTTTGCGTCCAAAGGCCCCAGAGCATGGTCTGCATCCTGGCAGCCTTCCGAGGGGCAGCGTGGAAGCCAGGCCAGACACCCAGAGGCCCTGTGTCCGTGTGGCCACAGAGACCCCCAGCAGAGTGTGCTAACCACAGGCAGCAGGAGCCACAGATGCTTCCCCTTGGGCCAGGCTGGTCTCCCTGACACCACGAGGTCCTATACGAAACAGCAAGTTCTAGAAACGGGCGAGTTCCTGTGAATGCACCACTAACACAGAAGGAAGAAACGCACTGCTGCTACCATGCGGTGGGGGTGGCCTCCATGTCTACAGAAAGTCCCCAGCAGTGTCCCCGCCACCATCTCCACCACCATCCCCAGCACCAGCGTCCCTGCCACAGTGGGGACAGTGGTATCATTCCTCCACCAATCCACTCTGACCTCCAGATCCCACCAGAGCTGTAGCCTCCGACCCACCCCTCACGGGCCTCCCCTCTGCACAGCCTGCACTCCATCCTCCTGAGTCCGCGCGGCCGTGCATGGCTGCCCTGGGACAGCTGACCACCTCTAGCACTGGCGGCCACCAGCCAGGCCTGTGCCACCGTCCCTGACCCTGCCTAGCGTGGCAGCCTCCAGCTGGCCTCCCCGCCTCCGCCCAGCCCCTCCTCTCTGTTGCCCCCCTGCAGCCGCCCTGCTCCTGCCCAGCTGTCAGGGACCCCAGCTCTCGTTGCACCGCTGCGCAGACCTGCCTGCGTCCGTGGTGATCAGAGTCCACACCAGAACCTGCCCAGTGTGTAGGGCCCACCTGGCCGGGCCTCTCAGACAGCCCTCCCAGCTCACTCTGTGGCTGGGGGGCCTCATGCGGTGGGGCCCAGGCAGCCTCCCCAGAAGCTGCTCAGAAACCAGAGCCCCGGCCCCACCAAGCTCCAGAGCTGGCACCACATGCAGCAAGCCCCGGGGACCTCAGCTCCAAGGCCGGGGCTCACTCAGGGTTCCTGCGATGGCCACTGCTGCCTCCCCTCAACCCCAAGCCCGTCTCTCACTCCCGTCTACCCTGCCCTTGCCAGCCACCATTCTCCTTCCTGTACTCACGCCACTGAGCGGGCAGAACCCAGAACCAAGGCCATGGACAAATGGGGCGCTGGGCAGAGCTACACTGAGCTCCAGAAGGAGAAGGCGGCGGCGGGTCCTGCTGCTGGGAGCAAGGCTGCCTCATCTCCCCGTAACTGCTGTTCATGCCGAGTGCAGCGCATTGGTCAAGAAGCTCACAGAGGAGGCCACACGCTCTGCCTGGCACGAGTCCACCCCCACAGGAAGCTCCGGGCCCCAGGGCTCTGCTGTCATCTCACTGTCCCTGTCCCTAGTCGGCCAGTGGCAGAGCCAGGAGGGAGGTCAGGGGCCTGACGGCTCCTACCATTAAACCACATGCACGCCCGCTCCTGCCAGGAAGGAAACAAATGCTATGCACCCTTGCTTCTCAGTCAGCCTGAGTGGGCCGGGCAGCAGGGGCTTCAGACCACCACACTGCCCTCCCGCACCACAGCCCCCACCCCACAGTCGAGTCTTCAGCTGCTGTCACTGTGCCCTGATCTGAGCCCCCGGTCATGATCTCGTCCATATGGTTCTCAACCCCTCATCTCCCTGCTGTATGCTCGCTAGCTCCATCACAACGTCAAGGCATAGGCCCGTCCACAAACCTACCCACACAACCCCAAAGCGCGAACACAGCGACACTCCAGCTGCAGCAATCACATGTTCATTCACTCATCTGCTCACAGCTCCAGAAATGCAGGTGGGTTGCAGGGGGGAGAGCTGGCCTTTGGGCTGAACAAGGCAGAATCCTTGCTGACCTGACCTCAACCCATTTCAGAAAGAGCGGGCAAGACAAGCCCAAGTGGAGTGGATTCAAAAGAGGAAGGGACGAGCGGGCAGGGGCCAAGGAGACAGCGTGTTTAAAGAGTTATGTAGGGCCGGGCGCGGTGGCTCATGCCTGTAATCCCAGCACTTTGGGAGGCCGAGACAGGCGGATCACAAGGTCAGGAGATCAAGACCATCCTGGCTAACACAGTGAAACCCTGTCTCTACTAAAAAAAAAAAAATACAAAAAACTAGCCAGATGAGGTGGCGGGCGCCTGTAGTCCCAGCTACTCAGGAGGCTGAGGCGGGAGAATGGTGTAAACCTAAGAGGCGGAGCTTGCAGTGAGCCGAGATCGCGCCACTGCACTCCAGCATGGGCGACAGAGTGAGACGCCATCTCAAAAAAAAAAGAAAAAAAAGAGTTATGTCGGCAGGAGCAACGCAAGAGGGCAGGAGGACCCGGGTGCAGGAGGAGCAGTATGTTCGGGATGAGGTCCTTGAGAGGCAATGGGAGACGGGTCTAGCACAAAGGTGCACTGGGGTGAACAATGCCCACAAATTTATGTCCTTCCCAAAACCTCAGAATCTGGCCTTGTTCAGAAATAGTGTCTGCAGGTTTAATTAGTTAAGATGAAGCTACGCTGAAATAGGGTTGGCCCTAAACCCAGTATGATTTATAATCCTAAGAACAGAAGAGACACAGACACATGCAGGGAGAGGCCATGTGGCTAGGGGGCAGAGATCAGGGTGATGCATCCACAAGCCAAGGAATGCAAAGGGCTGCCAGGAACACCAGGAGCTGGAGAGGCAGGAAGGGGTCTCCCCTCAAGCCCTCAGAGGGAGTGTGGCTCTTGATTTCAGACTCCTGGCCCTCAGAACTGTGAGATAATCCATTTCTGTTAAGCCCCCCAGTTTGTGGTACTTAGTTACAACAGCCATAGCAAACTAATACGGTGAGGGGGCTGGCCCCAGACGGACGTGGGGGACAGTCACTCCTGTAACAGAAAGGGCATCTGAGTGTGTGAGTGACTTGAGTCAGATAAGCTCACACAGGCTGCTGTTGTGAATGGGCCAAGAGGGTTAGGGTTAAGGTTAGGGATAGGGATTAGGGTTAGGGTTAGGGATTAGGGTTAGGGTTGGGGTTGGGGGTTAGGGTTAGAGTTAGGGGTTAGGGTTAGGGGTGAGGTTAGGGTTACAGTCAAGCAGCTGCAACAACCCAGGGTAGAGACTGTGGCCACAGAGGACATTTCAATTTCAAGAATCTGCGTGTTCCCAATCCCACTCCAACAAAAGTGCAATAAAATTAGAAGGTGATAACAAAGAATGGCTTAAAAACTGTAAGTAGAGGACAAGGCATAGTGGCTCATGCCTGTAATCCCAGTACATTGGGAGGCCAAGGCGGGTGGATCACGAGGTGAGGAGTTCAAGACCTGCTTGACCATCATGGTGAAACGCCATCTCTATTAAAAATACAAAAAGAATTAGCTGGCATTGTGGCACATGCCTGTAATTCCAGTGGTTCAGGAGGCTGAGGCAGAAGAATTGCTTGAACTGGGACCCTGCAGGTGGAGGTTGCAGTGAGCCAAGATCGCACCACTGCACTCCAGCCTGGGCTACAGCGCGAGACTCTGTCTCAAGATAAAAAAAAACTAAAAGTACATCACTAAATAATCAAATGAAGATTATGCTGGGTGTGGTGGCTCACACCTGTAATCCCAGCACTTGGGGAGGCAGAGGCAGGAGGACTGCTTGAGTCCACGAGCTTAAGACCTGCCTGGATAATAGAGTGAGACCTCATTCTCCACAAAAAGAAAAAAAAGAGCAAAACAAAGGTGTAAGATGAAGATTATAATGAAATTTATATAGTAAAAAATAAAATCTCTACACATCAAAACTTAAGGGATACAGCCTACCAGATCTTAGAGAGAATTTATAGTCTTAGGTACCCTTATTAGAAAACCAGGAAAATTAAATAAAAATGAGCTCTAACACATAAATCAAGAGCAAATCCATAAGAAGTAGAAAGGAAGGAAAGATAACAACAAAAGCAAAAATGGATGAGATAGAAAAATTAAGACAATCAACAAATCCAAAAGTTAGTTTTTTGAAAAGATTATAAAATTAACCACTGGCAAGAATAATTAAAAAAAAAAAAACAAAGAAGAGAAATACATAATAAATATCAATGCTCAAAAGAGAAATTACCGTATATTTATATTAGATTTTTTTAAATCATAAAAGAATATTATGGACATCTGTGACACAATATATTTCAAAAGTTAGATGAAATGATAATTTTCCAGAAAATTTACAATTACTAAAAAACGACCCAAGAAGAAACAGGAAATAAGGTTCCAAAATCATTATGGAAGATAAAGTAGTTAGAAATCTACTTGCTCAAAATATGTTAGACCTAATAGTTTTATAGGTGAGTATTATCAGACTTTAAGAGACAAATAATTATCTCCACCTCATTCAAAAAGTTCCAAAGAAGAGAAAAGAAGGAAAGCTGACCAGCTCATTCATTGAGATGGGTATAACCTCATACCAAAACCAAAGAAAGACAGTACAAGAAATATAAATTATAGGCAAATTCCACTTTTGAACACAGATTTTTTTAAATCTTAAATAAAATGTTAGTAAATTAACTCCAGCAGTATATTAAATATAACAGAAGAGTTTATTCTAGGAAAACAAGGATGGCTCAACACTGAAGAAGCTATAAAAATAATTCACACACTAATTGGCTAAAGGGGAAACATCTTATAACTATCTCAATCAATGGCAGAAAAACCATTTAGTAGCATTCAGCTCCTGACAAACTGGGACTAGATAGAAACATTCCTAATCTGATAAAAGGTATTTATAAATTTCTTCAGCAAATACCATACTTAATGGTGAAATGTTGATAGCATTCCCATTAACTCAGAAACAAGGAAACCTGTTAATATTACCAATATTCTAAATTACACTGAAGAATTTACCCAGCACAATAAGGCAAAAAAAAGAATGAGGCATGATTATTGTAAGGAGAAAGACAATATTGTTATTTGCAGAATATATATTATTTACATAGAAAATCTACAAACACCTTTATATAATTAATGAGAAAATTTAACAAAGTTGTTAGATATAAAGTCAGCATACAAAATTAATAATGCCCCTATATATTTTTTAAAAATTGAAAATAGAAAAAATATTATAGGCCAGGAGTGGTGGCTCATGTCCATAATCCCAGCACTCTGGGAGGCTGAGGCAAGTGGATCACCTGAGGTCAGGAGTTCGAGACCAGCCTGACCAACATGGTGAAACCCCATCTCTATTAAAAATGCAAAATTAGCCGGGCATAGTGGTGGACACCTGTAATTCCAGCTACTCAGGAGGCTGAGGCAGGAGAATCACTTGAACCCAGGAGGTGGAGGTTGTAGTGAACCAAGATCATGCCATTGCACTCCAGCCTGGGCAACAAGAGTGAAATTCCATCTCAGCTGGGCGTGGTGGCTCAAGCCTGTAATCCCAGCACTTTGGGAGGCCAAGACGGGCGGATCACGAGATCAGGAGATCGAGACCATCCTGGCTAACACAGTGAAACCCCGTCTCTACTAAAAAAATACAAAAAAAAACCCAACTAGCCAGGTGAGGTGGCGGGCGCCTGTAGTCCCAGCTACTTGGGAGGCTGAGGCAGGAGAATGGTGTAAACCCGGGAGGCAGAGCTTGCAGTGAGCTGAGATCCAGCCACTGCACTCCAGCCTGGGCGACAGAGTGAGACTCCATCTCAACAAAAAAAAAAAAAAAAAAAAAGAAATTTCATCTCAAAAAAAAAAAAAAGAAAAGAAAAAGAAAAAATGTTATAATTTCCCCAAATAACAAAAGTTATCAAATACCTGAGGAATAAATATTACTTAAAAGTGTAAGATCCTTATGAGCAAAATTATAAAACTTTAGGGAAGGACAAAGAGAAGACATAAATAAATGTTGACAAATATATACATAGACGATTCATTATCATAAAAGTGTCATCTCAAATTTTTCTATAAATTTAATACAATTCTTATCAATGGATTTGTCATGGAGCTACAAAAACTGGTTTTTAAACTCACAAAAATGCTAAAGTCTCAAGACCAGAAAAGGCAAGTTTACAGACATGCTACCCCAGAGTCAGGATTATTGCAATGCTATGGCAAATCGTGGCATGATCTGCTACGAGATGAGTGGGACAGAGGCAGACAGAGCTATGAAAGAGGAGTCAGACCTCATGCACACCTCAGGGAAGGAGCCACACCTCAGGGAGGAGCCAGACCTAAGGGGAGGAGCCACACCTCAGGGAGGAGCCAGACCTAAGGGGAGGAGCCAGACCTAAGGGGAGGAGCCACACCTCAGGAGATGAGCCAGACATCAGGGGAGGAGCCAGACCTAAGGGGAGGAGCCAGACATCAGGGGAGGAGCCACACCTCAGGGGAGGAGCCAGACCTTAGCAGGAAATGAAGTCAGGCAGCTCACTTTCTGTGTGAATTCACAAAATAAATCAGGCCCCTCCTCACACTTTATACAAGCAGACTTCAACTATTAAAGACTCAGTGAAAAATCTAATTTTAAAATGTATCAAATGAATATAGGAAGGTGTGTCTTTATAATTTCATAGAAAGAAAACACACCTAAGGAAAGACAATGAAAATAAGATTCATAAGCCCACAACAGAAGCACGGGGCATATAGAAAGTGCTCTTCTGTGCTACTAAAGCCCGCGTGGCCACCACATCCTGCCAAGTCCTGACACACCTGCCTGTGTGGCGACCGCCCGTGAGAGCAGGTGCTTGTGCCTTGTCACCCACACCGGGCACCTGCAGCTCTCCTCGTCAGCTTCCCACAGCCACCAGATGCACCTCCCTAAATACCCACCCTTGCCCATCCCGCACACCCCCAACACCAGAGCAGGCCACCTGCAGCTGCAGCCACCTGGCCAGGACCTCTGCTCTCAGGCCCCATAGCCTTCTACCACCTCCTTACTCGACCTCCAGCTCCAGGCAGAGGAGCGCACACCCTGTTCCAGAGCATTCCGCAAAGGCCTGCCATGCAGTCCCCCGGTCCTTCAGACTGGGACTCCCCCAGTCCCTCCTCTGCTCCATGGTTCATGCCCCACATCCTGGCAACCCCCCAACCCCAGGTTCTGGTGGCCCCTCCTCCACCTCCTCCTCATGGCAGGGTCCAAGAGCCCCAGGCTCCTTCCCTCCAGGGCACTTGTAGGCCCTTGAGGGTCACCTGACACTACTTTGGGTTTCCTCACCTGTGTGATGGGTGCAGCGCCGATCCTGTGGGGAACACAACGCCAGGCGAGTCCACCTTCCCGGCCAGGTGAGCCTGCCAGTACCCATTCCTGTGTCCCCTCCCTGCTGCACAGCCCTTGCCCATCCGCCAAGATGCCCCCTCTCCCAGCACAGCCGTCCCCGCCTGCCCATCCTCCAAGGCGTCGCCCTCTCCCAGCACAGCCATTCCCCCCCCCATCCTCCAAGGCGTCGCCCTCTCCCAGCACAGCCATTCCCCCCCCCACCGCCTTGGAGGAGGGCAGGCGGGGACGCTGTGCTGGAGAGGGGGCCACCTTGGCGGATGGGCCAGGCGGGACCGGCTGGCTGGAGAGGCGACGCTGGAGGGATT